TCTTATAGTGGGTCTAAACACCCAGAATAAAAATGCGAAATCTAAATCGCAAAAACAGTTCAGCCAAAATTGAAAACTGAAAACACAAAACACAGGCATCCTAACCAAAGATTGATTTACCAAGGCTTAGACTCTATAAACACTTAAAAAATTAAGTTGAAATTGAACAAAGACCCCGAAACATTACTCTATCATGTTTTTAGTTTACCCACCGMTCGAAAAATGTCATATCGTTGCATTCAAGGTCACTAATCGCATCCTTTTGTGTARGATAGACTACACAACTATAATAAATAACTTATAAGATTCGACTTTCTTTTTTAAAAGTGTTTTAAAGATATGCATGTCAGTGAAAAACGGTGAGAAAGCAAAATATAAATCTGTTCAAAATTGAGAATAATCACCGATGGTAATACAAGTGAGTAGAGAGTTCCTTTTACCAACCCCTTATACCCTCCCTCCTTCTACTCTACCAACGGGACTTCCCCCCCTTCCCCATTTTCAAAAGGGATCCCCACTGAGCTAGAGTCAAAGCGGAACTAAAACGCATGGCCGACAATAACATATTTTTAAGCAAACCGTAAGAAACTTGTTTCATCTTGTTGACTCTAAATTAAAACTAAACTGCGGAGTCTCACTGCGGGAGTTTGCSGGGGCTAGAAGGACGCTAGAACTTCCTTAACCACGATCATGAGCTCGTAGGTCGACAACAAGTATTGTTTTGATATTGGATTCACAAGTACGTGTAAATAGTTTCTAGCGCGCAGATCCATATAGCTATAATTGTTTTTGTTGGGAAATTGATGGCCTAAAAATGTGAAGAAATCGAATAAACTTGGGTGGCATTTTTTAAAAGCTTTTAATGTTTTTACATTTTGCTGTTATTTACCTAGCTTGCTTCCGTCTTTGTTTTTATTGTTTTTGATTATCCAAAAAATTAAATTATTCATGTGACTTTACCCGTTAAATATTTATARAAGACTACTAGTTTTAACTAGTACTTAAAAGTTCAAGAATTTCGCTTATAATTGCACATTAATTATTTCGTTAGCGTTTCATATAACTATTATAATGTAGGCTAGTGTACGCTTATATAGCTTATAGTCATTTCTCATGAAATCCCCTCTAAATAAAATGGTGTAAAATCAGTGTMGCAGCGTATTTTTTCAGTACGTTGATAGTCAATAGAAGATCTCTGTGTCGAAGTTAACATCATTATACGTCTCGGTCTAAAAAGACAAGTTTATTTTGTCGACCTTCTAAATTTTATAGACAGACATTGCGAGAAGTGATATTTAAATATCTGAAAGCCCGTTTAAACTTTCGTTTGGTTTCAATGTTGTAGTTGAGATGATAGTACTTCTTAAAGCAAATACTAGTAAATTTGAAGAGCTTTGGGGTTCTCATAAACGGGTAAAAACTCAAAATCGAGCGAACAATACACAATTCACCTGCCGAGCCATGATTATATCGATTGCGGAGTGCGAAACATGACGTAACTGAACCTAGTAAACAACATCTGACATCTGACATCTGGCTAGCACCATCTGGGTTAAATTGAGCAAAATCGTACAATTAATATATACTATGTAACTGTTCCAAAAAAGGTTTTCACGTAAAAGTAGGATGCTAGAAATTAAACTGATTGAAGGTTATTGTAGTGACATTAGGAATTTTTTTTTAGTTTTTTTTTGCAGTACACACATTTGCAGTAAAATCACTCAATACATACGACATAACTATGCTTCAGAAAGCTTTATTTCCACTATATCATTGTGATGATCTTTCTGTTACATCACATGTTGCTTTAATCTACAATTTCTTGAATATTTGGAAGCCAAAAAGAGAATTTTTTCGCGCACAATTCGTTTTGTAACTGTGGCTGCATGAGCGCGCGTAAAGATAGCTACCGCTGAAATAGAGCCAGTAGTGAGAGTAATAGTAAGGATAACGAAATGCAACGATATCACCGTACTGCACTGGGTCAATGCCGTCTTTAGCATAACGAGAGAAGATCTGGAACGTCAGGTAGGAATAGATGAAGGCGTTGTTTCCTTTGAAATAACTCTCACTTACACATCTGTAAAGAAAAGTACGGCACTCAATATAACAGCAACACCAACAACCACTGAACAGCCATAATAAAAATCATTACAGTGCTGAATAGCCATGACTATGTGCAAAAAAAAAAGACTCAATATCCCTCTAAATATGACAAAAAAAACATGCACAAGCAATCTTTAAATCAGTAGCCACTTCTTAAAACACAATATTTGAAAATCAAGAGTATCTCTCTTCATGAGCAGCCTCCCTTAATTTATGCAGAGTTTATGCTACAGCAATGAGATGCCGAAAAAAAACAACATAAAAACACAATCAGCAAACATAATCAATGCTTACGTCTTTGAGTTACAATATGAAGAACTCGAGCTAAAACACCTCAGACGACAAGTACTGCCACGGTTGTAAGGTGCAAGGGTTACAAAGTCCCCGCTAATGATCGGCTGACCGTCGTTCTTGTTGACTGCCCGGATGTAAAACTGTTCCTTTCTACATGAAGACCATCTATTGGACTTCAACACCTTGAAARATGAAAGACTGAGTACGAAAATTAGCCAGAACCCCCCCTCTCTCTAACCCCCCCTGCTATACTAGAAATAACGTCGGAATTTACGTTGAACTTAAGATAAAGAAAATAATAGAAAATTTTGAATAAAACTTAAGGTCCCCTCTGTTCATTAGGTAATTTTACTTTGAGCCCCCCTATCTTGGCACAATTCTATGTTATTCAGAAGATCTTGAAAAAAATAAAATAAAATGACTGAAAAGCATTCTTTTCTTTTCTGTTTCCCCRTCCCGTTCCCTTTCTCCTCCCTCTCTTATGGAGCCTCTATGAACTTAGACTATGGTTGAAACGATTAAATACTCGTACTCGTTTTTGATGTATTACTTAGCATCATTATCTGCAATATTACCTTGCCACGAGGGCAATTTGAATAATAGCAGTAGCTACTACTTGAGCCACACTGCATCCATCGGTAACTGTAACTGCCGGATGTGTAGGCCAACCTCAAGGCAATGAGATTTCCACTATGGATCACAGGGTAGCGACGATGGCCTATCCATAAACGATAAGAAGATATAGATGATTCAAATCCAATGAAAGGATTAACTATACGAATTGTTCTGTAACTTTTATTGTGATATTGGGTATGGATGTTCACACATTTCGAAATATGGATAAACAAAAATCCTCGATTTTAGGGTTTAAGCGACTAAGTGTGAGTCTTCCGTTTCTAAGAAAGACGCGCAAAGGGTCGGTGTTAAGGAAGGTCTGTCTGAGAGGAAGCAGCATCTGAAATTTAGAAATCAACCACAACAAGAGTCCCTGGTATATATGAAGAAATGTTGCCAAACAAAATACAACCGGTATTGGAATCCAAATAATTTCTCACACGAAATTTTGGGTGTTAATTTAGCCGTCTACTGCCTCCTCCCAAGCAACTAATTTATCGTTATATCATATATCACATCAGTAGAGAGAGGCCGAGTCAACAGATAATAGCCAGTTGACATCGCCATTATATTTGATTATTRCATTAATTCTAAAAGTGACTGCTTTACCATCAGATAGACCCGCCCAAACCCTTTCTTGCGGCACCAAGAACTTGATATGTCCACTTCCTAAACACAAAGAATCAGTTTATTCTTTTATTTTATCTCAACTTAGACTGATTTTTCTTTTGCATTTTAAATGTAGTCTCGTAATTATGAATGCTATTTAATGAGATAAAAAGGGACAGATAAAAATAAAAGGCAATCTGAATTCATAACAATGATAAAGTAAGGCAAAGGTACGGATATCAAAAGTGTCAGAGGTCAGCAATATTTAAAGTAAAAAAATGTGATAATAACAATGAAAAGAACGAAAGAAGAACAGTAAAAGGAACCGTTTAAAATCGAAAGTGAAGGAGACTAGATATGTTATAATTAACAGTATAAGCCATGGGAAGAAGAAACTATGAGACCAAGAAGAAGGAAAAGAATGAACTACAATAAGAAAAGAGGAATAATAAATGCAACAACAATTAAGAAAAACATTCACAACTTTAGAAGAACCAGTCGGATAGGAAAAGTAGCTAAAAGTCGAATTGAAATAGAAAGGATGACGAAATCGGAAAGAAGAAGAAAGGAAGAAGGGAATAATAGAAGACTGAATTCTGCTGGTCGAACAAGGGCGATGTGCTATATTAAACAATAAAACAAAGTCGAAAAGCTAGTAAGAAAATAAGAGAAGTTGAAGAAGAAAAGTAAATGAGAAGTAAGCAAGAGTAGAAGAATAAGACGTCGTATAAGACCCAATAAGAAATCAAATATAACGAAGCTGCGGGAGGATAATGGAGCTCAAATAGACCCACCATGTACTTAAATATAATCCTTCATACCTCGCTGAACTTGAATGTTGGCTGCTTCACCCATCTGCCATACTACCTGCATTACCAAAAGCACAACCAAGGATATCTTGAACATGATTTTCAGGCTTTTTCAACACCTCTTCTTGTAGAATGGATTCAAATTGTTTGATAGCAAGTGAACAGTGGCAGTATCGTTGTGGAAGTTTGCTATATATGCTAGTGAATACATTATTGGATCAAAAAAAGGGGGGGGGGGGTAATAAATACTGGTGCAGTGTTTTGTCGCTATGACATCAAAACTCTAACCTTAGCCCTGACAAACGTTTTGATGGTCTGAGGGCTGGGGTAGTGGAAATATATACCTGGCTGCCTATTCCAGACTGAAACGGCCAGTAAATCGCAAACCCATGCTAGACGAAGACCATATGCTATACCCCAGACCTAAAAGCTTCAAAACCGTACCACTCCAAATCGCGCAGCACTCATCCTTAGATCAAATATAGGGGAGTGCCCCCCCCCCCCRCACCCCCGTTATTTATATCATTTCCACAGACGTAACCTAAAAATGAACTTGAGCTGTCTCCACGTGTTGCTTTACCAACGAAGACTTGTTTTATCTTGCCGAGTAAATAAACCTTCTCAATCAATTAGCAAATGTTGACTAAAGTAGGATAATTTGTAGATTTTGAATTGGCAGATTGCAAAGGATGACAAACGTTTCTATGGAACATACTTGATAAATGTTTATATGCAACGGGACTTCATGCTGTCCAATAAAGAAATAATTGGACAGGTACCTATTTAGGATTAATAAGTGGACCGGATATACAATTATATATCAGGAGTAATGGGCTTCTGTAGATATCAAAATACATGTTTTTCAATCCAAAAATGTCGCCGCGGATGGAGTTTATTGTATTTTTGAACTTTTTCATTTTAAAGTTTGTTATCGTGAAGTTGWTGAAGAAACATTTAAGAAAATTGAGTGCTTGTACAATTTCAAGTGGTATTTTTATATTGGGCGTTTGATAGTTATATTAGAGGGAGACTCTACTATAATTGGACATACATGCAGAAACCACATGTCACATATTAAAATGGCTCTACCATGACGCGGAGACCACGGCTTACGCTTTTTCACTTAGCCGTTCTGCTTTTTTTCTTCGAATTAWCTCTTTTGAGTTTTAAAAATTCAAGTCCCCTAGTAATTAAAATAACTCTGATGTCTTAGTTTATATGATAGATACCCATAGCTTTGACCATTTTAGTTTTACCCGAGTGACTGAAACTACTACATGTCACTACGGTAACGTAAACCTTTCCACTCAGCTTCAGTTTTCAATTGTAAAAAAATTTACGGCATTTTAACAAAATGTTTTACATAAAAACAATCAATACAAAGAGAGTGTTTTCAAAAATTGCGTTGAGTAAAACCGTGAAAAATGTTTTAGTTAAATAATCAAGATAATTTCATATTCGACATGCAGCAGCTTCCTTATTTACTTTTCAAAAGAGACTAAAACAAATCCATTAAGTCCCTATTAATAACCTGACAGACCTAAGGAGCTTCAAGTCAAAACGCGTTTTTTTAAGAGTTTATGCCTATGCTCTTTAATATTTCATTTTACTTATTTTCATTTTTTTTACAAAATCATAAAAATTTATTTACACTTCATATAGTCGTATAAAATGTTCATTTTATATTAAGTCTATCAACGTGAAGTTGATTGAAAAAATCAAAGAAATCGTAATAATTGTGTTTTTTAATTTCATTTGGAAAATAATTGGCCTTTATTATTGAATCCTAGAACGGATGAGTAGGAACAAGTATGAAAATTCTCTACTTATCAAAAACTACCAAGACTGGTGGCTAAAAAAAGCCCAAAGAGGACAAACACTAAAAGCGCGAAGTGCGAAAAGACCAAATAGTGCTAAATAACGCAATGTCCTGTAGGTTAGACAATAGAAAACAATGGTAGTCACATAATTCATAATATATTAATTAGCATTTGTTTTCTAAAGTCCTTTCTTGAATTCTGCAAAGCCCATTTGACCTGAACTTTTTTTGGATAACAGTTCATCAGATTAAAACTTATCTCATTATTGATATAACCATTTAATACTCCAGTTTCGAATTCATAGCGAATAACCACTGCTTTATTTGACAGCAGATTCTCTTGCGCAAAGACCTTACAAACACAAAAGAGAGCACGAGAAAATGTCGTTATTATAATAGACTTGAAAATTTGCATTTTCCCGGAGTTGAGATTATCCCTGTATTCCCATAAGACCTAAGGTATGAGCAGGGTTAGCCTCAACTCGGGGAAAATGTAGATTCTTAGCGCTCTATTGTATTAACAACATTTTCTCGTGCTTTCTTTTGTCTTTGGTAAATTCTTTGCGTAATAGAATCTGCTGTCATGTAAAACAGCGGTTATTCGCTTTGAATTCGAAACTGGAGTATTCAAAATATTATGCTACCGCTTCACCAATATCTTTGCTTTTCTGTAAGATAAACAAAAAAATAATTTTAAAATGTGTTTGATTATTAGCTATCTTCACTAGTAAAAATAATACCTTTTTGAAAGAGAGAAATATTCTAGGTATTTCACAAATAATTATATGATAAATAAATAGAGGATATTACATGGGCGCACAGAGATACGGATTTTATCTTCGAGTGTTGAAAAGATCTCTAACAAGTGAGCGTAGCGAATAGAAGATAAAATTCGTATCTCCAAGCAACCATGTAATATTCTGTTTATCATATAATTACATATGAAAGCAATTATGCCGTAAAATAGCTTTTTTCTTCCTTCCACTATATAGAGAAACCTCGAATGTGTTATTTTCACTAGTGAAAATATCAGCTTTATGCAATGGAGAAATATAGGTATTACATAAATAATTATATGATAAAATTCAATACCTTTTTCTTCTTTTTACTTTTAGCTGACCTAATTGAATATCTCCTGTTGCCATAAATCTTTCTAGCTTCTTCTCGTTCTTCTTCATTGATTGGTGTGTCATCTAGTACTTGCAGACTTGGTAGATGGCTGATCACGTACAATCTGTGATTTTTTTCATTTGAAAGCCAAATTTAATATGAAATATAGCAAATTTATTATTGRACCAAATAAACTCTCTCAAAGGAGCTATTTGGAGCAGTCTTGACTTTATGTTTGCTTTTTTGAGAGCGATTTTTATGATATGAGTAGATTTTTAAAATTGTGTTTTGTTCTTGCACAGCGCTCTCTTTTGATTTCTTAAAACAGCTTTTCATAGATGAACTAATTATGTACAGGGTGGAGGTGTGTTCTATGTTGCATGGGCTTTCCAATAATGATATTGTTGTTAATGTTTATTTAAATTCATAACGGAGCATTAAACTGAATAGAATGTTTGAATTCATACTCTCTCAGCCACAGCTAAGATAAGTTTTATAAAGGGTAGCACTTCAGYGCAAGCCTCAAGTATTGCTAGCACTTAGATAGAGTTATTTAATACTATAACTGCACACTTAAAAATAACACACAAACATCTGCCATACCTGTAGTCTTTATACTGCTGATATGTGCCGCCATTAAAATAACTCGGAGCAGCAGCGTTATTCATCATACTAAAATATTTCAAGTTTGGGAAGTTCTTTGAAACGCCCTCTATAAAAACACTGAGATTGTCTATTTTGTTGTGATTCACCCAAAGAGTCTGGAGATAATCTGATGGTGAAAACTTTGCTCTTGACGTAATGTTATTGTTGTCAAGAACCAGTGATTGGAGGTTCTCAAAGTCTTGAAGGAAACGCAAATCACTGTTATTTGGAGTATTAAGAAAAACTTTTAATAATATGACATATTTGTGGAGTATTTTTGGTTCACAGATAGTAAAAATAACATATGGCAGCCATGTCGGTATACATAACAAGAAGTTAATGAAAAAATCTTTTGGTTCTATACATGTACTTCGATATGGCCACTCCGATATCATGTGAAAACCAAGAATAATGAATAAATAAATTTATAATATGGTTGAATAAAATTTGATTGGCTTAGAGGAGTGGTATTTATTCTTAATAGTGGTATTTCAAATTGCACAATTTTATTAAACCATTTTATAAACAAACAATAGCATGTTTTGTACGTGGAATTAGGGATAAATACCACTTGTGATATTTCAAAATTGGTCACAAATTTCACTCACTTCGCTCGTGAAATTTTGTTTGACAATTTTGAAATATCACGCATGGTATTTATCACAAATACCACTACAAAACATGCTATTACCTATACAAATACAATTTTTATTGGAAAGATGAATGAATCAAAAATATCTCAGTGAATTTAATAAAATTCAATAAAAGGATACGTCAATCTATTGTGGCTCAGATCCAGTTCTTTGACTTGCTGTCGAAATTGCTCAACCACTTTACCAGACAAATCATTTAGATCACGATAGGCCAAGGAAAGACGACCTTCCTTTGTGACTGAGACATCCGCCATCATGACCTGGCTTTCATTTATATCGCACAAAATCTACCAGCTTATCAAGCATTCTCGTACTTTGGAGTTTTCTCAGAGTACCAAGAGGGATCAGGAAGGTATTTCACCTTAAAATCATAACATTTCTTGTCGAGAAAAGAAGATTATTTCTGTAAATTAGCTCGAAAGTCCAAACTTCACTTCCCATGCAGCTCGAAGCGGCTCGTGAATATCACATGGCAAGTTTCTAACAGGCGTTCCACGTAATATTTACATAGAGTGTACTGGGAACTAGAGCGCCAATATTCAAAATGGCGTCAACAGATGAGCTGAAAAGAGGTAAACACTTCGATTGTTCGCCTTGTTTCTTTGTTTTAAGGCTGGCCAATTTCATAAGTCCATACCTTGAAGTTAATTTAGCTTTAAGTGCATTAGAATGAAGTATATTATTCCCATAAAGTTTTGATTAAGTTGAACAAATATAACTTTTGCATTCTACTCGAAGTTTTGAAAGACACTTTGGAAAATCAAGGCGTTCTTGGACAGATTCGTGCACGAATAAGAGCAGAGGTTTTCAATGCTTTAGATGATCAGGTAATGTTTAATCTATGCAATATGGTGTGCATATGCAAACTTTTTTACGCAATAATTTACATTCTAGTTATTAGCTTACTGACAGTAGTGTGTTTCATTCTGTTCAGACAGAGCCAAGGCCAACACTCTCCAACGAAAACATGCTCATAAATGAGCTTATAAGGGAATATCTAGAATTCAACAACTACAYATACACTTTGTCTGTTTTGATGACAGGTATTACATAATACAAATTATTCATATTGTAAAATTGTTATCATTATTTAAAATCTTCAACCATATGATTATTTAATGCTTTTTTTGCTATTGTTAAAACATTAGAAACTGGTCAACCYCAAGATAGAATTGATAGAAATTATCTGAGCCAAGAGTTGAATATCTCTGAGGACCATGCAACAGCTTCTARGTAAGATTATAATGAAGTTTTCTGCATCTCCAAATCAAACATTAATTAATGAAAACAACTGCACTAAGTTAATATTGAAAATTCCATTTTCTAAAGCCCTCTTTTATATGGGATGATGGCACATTTCCTGCAGAGACAAAATAGAGRATCTTCTATACCAGGAAGAAAAGGCAATCCWGTTCAAGAAAACAGTGAGTTCTGGTTATGAAAAAAMTYTTGTGCTATGTTTTTATGRCAATATCTTTGAAGAGAAAAGAGASRCAGCTAGTACAGTGCTGACACTTAATGTCCATGAGATAAAACCTAAATAGTTGCTAACAAATAGTTTTTGTTAMTCACTATCATTCAATTTGAACAACAATAGAAAGATATTTAGTAGCATTGTGCTTCATTTTCATTTATTGATAAGACATAATATTAGTAACATGGTTTCCCTTGTGTGTTTGCTATTGACAAGTTTGTAAGGTTTCGTGTGATTGTAGGTATAAAACAATGCTCATTGTTTCCTTATCCTTGTTTGTTTTCCTTTATTCAACAAATAGAGTAAACCAATAGGATAAAAACTTGCAAAACTGTGAAGGCATATACTACCCATAAAAAAAGCCRTGTTCCATGGAATGATAGTGAATAATAGTCACTAAATACAAACTATTTGTTAGTAACTATTTAGGTATTACATTGCATTTCATGGACATAGTGTCACAGCACTTTTGAATTAGTATACATAAAGCATAAAATTTTTAGCTATAACATTATTATATTAATATTTGCTATTTAGATCAAAGAACAAGGCACAGCCGAGCAGTTCGAGATTTAAGTATGTTTTATATCTAGTCTTTCTTTAACACATGTTCTTTAAAAACAGTGTATTGTAGATTATTATTCTTATGTGTTTTTTTTGTGTGTGTGTTTTTCTTTTCAAAGGTGATCCAAGCGACCATCACCAACCTGGTGCATTTGTTATTAGAGGTCCAAGGAGATAAATATGAACGAGACCACATTCTATACATCCTTAAATTCACAGATTAGAGTAAATCATTGTATGACCTTGTCCTAACAGTAAACAGCACTCTAAGAATGTGATGACATGAACAACACTGACGCAGCAATTATAAGAAATCTTCATAATTACAATGATTATTTGGTAAAAGAAGAACTTTCATTTTACACAATGGGTCTTTCACTCAGCAAAAACCCTGCTATGTGGTTTAGGCTTGAATTTCTCACATACTGAAATTTGAGATGACTTCAATAAATGATGATTTTGGTGTGGAGGTGTCCCATTAATTATTAGTCGGACTAGCCGAAGGCTAGGTCGACTTAAGTTTTACCTTTTAGCCAATCTATCTATCTATCTATCTATCTATCTATCTATCTATCTATCTATCTATCTATGTATTATGTCGCGTTTGGACCACCGGAAGTTAAGAATTTAATAGTTAATTATTGGGTTGGCTGTGTTATTACATGACCGGAAGCTCAAACGTATAGATGTACGAATATATCGTTACTAAATATCAGATTCTAATTGCGCTTTTATGTGATAAAAAAACTATTTGTTTACAAATGTGGTGTCTGTGATCTCATCGGAATGCATCAGTCTAGCCATCAGAAGTACGCGCATGTGCGGATCGCATGGAGCTTCGAGTAGTATGCTTACGGAACAGAATTCTAGCGCTAGACAGTCTTGAGTCTTGTTTGGGCAAAGATTTCAAATTAGAACAAAAAGAAACTTTGTTTATCAATAACAAAAAGGCGACTTTGATTATTTTATAGGCATCTTTTTCAAAGTATTTATTTTCTTGGCCTGAGAGGTCAACAATTTGAATTAAAAACGTATTAGATATGATATCACCATGCTTTTATTATCCATGATATCACTTAGCGACATACTGTAGTCTGGAT